TTTTTAATCATTTTAAATGTCTATGTAGTTTTTATTAACTTTTATTTCAATTTTAGTTTGAGTTATTTGATTACATCGTTAAAATGTTGCCTAGGCAGCTACATTTAAAAACATTTTTTAAGTCAATTGTGAGATAAAAAGTTGCAATTGTTTTAATTTTTTATCCAATGGTGGAAACTTCCATAGTTTCCAATATAAGACAATTAGACAAAAAATAAAACCCATCAAATTGGCTAAAATTGTTACTGTGTATCCTATTTAAAGTGTCCTTTAACAGATGTTTTTTTTTTAATCTGTCATTATATTTGAATGGTGATTCATTTATGTGAACTAATTTATTTTCCGCATTTTTTTAAACGGATATTTTTTGTAAATGTTTAACTCCCCATCGCCACCCAGTTCCCCAGAATTCAACATTAGCTATTGGAAAAACCCACGCAGTCTGGCCATCGAGTTTTTTTCCTGAAGTTTTCGATTGGCTGTGATGCTGTTGTGTTTCAGGCCGGGTCCGAGCGCTCCGCTGCCCTGGGTCAGAGAGTGTGTGCTGCAGCTCGCGCCTCACAGCCAGTGGAGACACAAGATCCTGCTGGGAATCAACATGTACGGACTGGACTTCAGCAGCCACGGCGGAGCGGAGCCGCTACTGGGCACGAGGTACACGCTTCATTCATTAAAACACTCGTTTAGCAAAATTATTGCTGTCAGATGAAATTATTTATTTTTTATTATTTTTACAGTATACTATAAAGTATATAAACTATAAAGATAACGATATTAGCGTCCACATCAGCAAACAATATCATCTGTTTATTCTAAGCGCACGCGTCTGCCACTTTAAATTTTTGAGCTCGTTACAGCAGGATGGATTCTGATTGGCTGTCAGTGTTTTATCGTTCATCAGCTGGAAAAAAAATTGTTTTGAAAGTGATCACAACGATCCTCTGTATCGTTATCGTTGTGGTGTGAACTATGCTATTCTTTAATATTGAGAACGATATCTTTATCGTTATATTCATAGTTATCGTGCTTGGTGTGAACGGGCCTTTAAAATATATTTAATATTTTAAGATAAAATCTAAAATATTTTGTAATATAACTATTTATATAAAATACTTTATTAAAAAAGTTAATTCAATAATAAAAAAATAATTTTAAAAAAGTGATTTTTTTTTACCATGCCAACTTTAGTAAAATTTTAATTAAGCTTGTATATTTAATAACAGTTCAACTAAATCTGAT